CATATATCCGTGTTATATACATCATCACGCACGCAGGAACACATGGAGACGGAAATCCGGGAAATACCAAAGTTTGTCCCAACCGTTCTGAATCACAAACTACGTGAGGTTTGACGGCCATCGCACTACCCACTCCACCATCTGTCGACCATGCAAGGTTGCCAGGAGAACCATTGAAGTAACTTCAGCACTACCTCTCTCCATGCCATGATACGTACGATATACATCAACCTTCATTTTTTTAGTTTGCCAATTTCACTGTCAAAGGACGGGGAGAGTCGTGCCGACAGTGGGACAAGGCAGAAGAAGTATGAAATGCTCCCTTGAAAGTGATCATGATAAAGAACCCCGTTAGGACACGCAGTGACCAACCTAGGGCACATTAGCTGCACTCCATGGCGATCAAAAATTGCGGTAATCGCCTGCGTTATGCAATTACATGGCCGACCTTTGCGTGTTTACGTAAATCTGTACCCTCTAATCTCCTTCGTACAATCCTTCTGATTACGGTTGACAACTTATACTGTTACTTCGCCCTGACGGTGTTTGACAGCCGTTAATCACCTCCCCAGGCGCTTTCGTGATTATCATGTTAAACGCGTACAGTCACTTAACCCCGTCCACTCTCAGCATTCCCTTCTGTCACCTCCGTGCTCAAGGATAATTTATTTCTGCTGAATATCGTTGCGATGTGCTTTTTTTTAGTTTTTCCACTTTCTGGACATGAATATAAATTATAAGAATTCATCATACTACATGTCACATTTGGATCCCGAGGCACGATAGGATGAGACCCCGCGCTTTTTCTTATTCTTTTTCAATTCTGCTCCATTCCTTTTCCTTTTTCTTCTGCTTTTCTTCTTTATCCCATACAGGTCAACAGAATTCCTCTACACATATTCATAAGGGGGCGCATACCATGACTGAACTAGTCTAGCCTAGATGGGAACAGTTCGGGTCTTACGGTTTCATTTTGGAGCCTAAACCTACGCCCGGAAAAAATGCTGGACGAGTTTTACGGGCACACTTCGGTGTGGGACCACGCGTCCCTTTAACTTCATTTGAATTAGGATACTTCAATAAGAGCGGTTTTTTGCAGATTATCGCTTTTGTGCGTAATCACAGTTAATATTTTCGAGATCTGCTTCTGCTTCGATTAGGAAACACATGAAACCTGAGGTGCAACCGGAAACTTGAGCACACCAACTGCATCTTCTGTTTTTTTTGGGACTACATCCCGTCGGGTGCCACCATTTTTAGAAGTTCTTCAACTCAGCGTTGGATTTCAGCGCAGAAAGATATCTACAACCCATCTTCGGTATTCTGTGTACGCAACCGCTCTTATAAGAGAGCTGTTTGTTTGATTAAATGTCCGGCGGGTCGCATTTCCGCGTTGACATGGTGGTGCTTGGAGACACCTTTTGTCTTTGATTTCGCTCAGCTTTAGAGGGCTTTCAAGGGAAGTGAGTTCACTAGAACAACAACAAATCTCAATTAGATCTGAATTCTGAATACTGAATTTCTTCACAAGCCGCAATGGTAAATGAATTCCAGCAAAAATACTACCACAATGTTTTAAATTTGAAGACGGAATGCGTGAGAAATGGAGACGACTGCGTGGAGACGTGAATAAACTCTCTCAGGACCATTGAGTGTTTCTGCTTCGAATCAACAGCCGTATAGTCCACAACATAAAAGCGTTGATAACCATATTCTCCCACCCCCTTCTGTAGCGTGTAATTAATCATCGCCGATACAACACCTGACTGCTGGCAGCCATTCTTACTCATGCCAGAAGCTCCGCAACCCAATCACACAGCCAAAAGCACGTGGCACTTGAATTAAGCAATAGACGAAATCGCTTAACCCATTATCCACTTTTATCAGCCTTTCAGAGCGCATCTCGAATTAAGTATTGACTATGCAATTTACGCCACAAAAGCGATGATCTCGCAAAAGCCGCTCTTATTGAAGTATCCTAATTCAAATGAAGTTAAGGGGACGCGTAATCCCACAATGAAGTAGACGATTTGAGCCTTTAAAACTTGCCCGGCATTTTTTTCCGGGGTGCACGTTTAGGCAACAGTGGGTTTTTACAAGCCAGAAACGGCCGGAGCAGCAGCCGCGCCCAACCTTCGGTAAGACTATCCTTGCGTAAGAGTGTGAACTGCGCTTAGATCATTTTTCTCTTCAAAAAATGCCCGAATTTGGGCCTTCATGACTATACAAAGAAAGTCTTACTAAGCTCAAAGGGACTGGAACTTGAACTGAATGCCTGTTTCCCTTCTAGTTGTACTTCTATTTGAGATAGTCTTCGCCTATTTCTTATTGCAACTTACATATATTGGCTCTTTGTGTGTCAACTCCTGAACACTTAGTTTTTCCAACCTGGTTTTCATTACTTACTCCTAATGATATAATATTCATTCTATCTGTCCCTCTCACTCTCCCTCTCTCTATCTGTCTAAGGAGGCTCGGAGATAGGTAGAATAAAGCAGTTTGTCTGTTGTGAGCTGAGGCAAAACAGCCCACCTATATTTTTAATGAGCACCTCCAAATTGCTGAGTTCTTCCCTCCTCAAAATCAGTCAGTACTGTGGGTCGTAATGGATAGTCTTGTTCAAGGCAGTCTTGTCTGGTGTGGATGCTGGGGCATATCAGGAGCATGGGAATGGCTCATCCATAGCCAGTTTTCCACGAATTTTTGTAGCGTGGCAAGAGACAACAGTTGGTTAAAAAAGGATTTGCCAGACTCAGTCCCAACAACTACAAGGAACAAGACGTTCAATGATCCCTGTGGAGAAGATTTCAATGAATGCGACACAGCAACAACATTTATTTTCTGATGCAACCTTGTCTGCATATGTCGTTCAGACCGCCAGTTTGCCATACATTCCTAAGACATTTCTACGGCTGCATTAGCCAAGCTATTAACACAAAACGGAAGCAAATGCCATTCGAACTAATAAGCAGGCTCAATAACAACCGCCGCTGACAATCCAGAAATCCTGCGTGACCTCTGTTTCTATGTAGGGATCATAAGGATAGCCTGGAGGAACGGAGCTCCAATAGACGAAGTCGTCATACTGGCTTCTCTTATATTCGCGGATCTTCACAGAGCTGTAGCATTGTAGAGTTCCGTTATATATGCATGGCTGAGGCAACACTGACATATTAGTTTTGGAGTAGCCAGTTTTCTGATAAGCGTTGCCAAAGAAGAAACGCATGTAGTCTGAAATTCGTATTCTGATGGACCTGCTCCAATTAACGGGTAGATTCTGTTTACTATGTGAGTAAATGGGATAAACAATCTGCTCTCTCCTCTCTTCACATGTGGCAAAGTCTCCTTGCAACAAATATGCCCAGCAGTAAGTTGGGCCCTTCTCTGATGGCTAAAGGTTGGTACGACCCCCCCCCCTAGTTCCTTACCGCTCTAGGGGGGGGGGCAACTTGCACCCGTGTGGAAAATACGACTGCTCTATAATAAGTGTTGGAATTTCTACAACTTCATCTAGAAAAATTTCCCACTTCGGGCCAAAAATTTCGCTGTCGAGGGGATTGGGGGGGAGGGTGTATAGCATACATTAAACGGGAGAAACCACTAAAACTCAGCAACCTCTCAAAAGGTCAGGAACCGAATACCACCTCCCCCTTAACAGCGAGCAACTACGACCTCCCTCGTCCTCGGAACAGGGAAAATCAACTATCAGAGACAATTTTTCTGAGTCAAAACACGACCCGCCCCTTCCCCTGCTGGGAGATCACCAACAACGATGTGCCCTGGCTCCAACTCATCCACCCGTCCAATAGTTTCCTGGGATTGCGACTATAACTGAATATACCATTTAAATTCGAATCATTGTGGAATATTGCGACCGTAGCCTTTTTCGATATTCCTCCATGCGTTAGTCTCCGGTTGATTGACTGAGTTTTTTGAACGGGGTGATTTAGTATCCAGCTTACTACATCCAATACAGAAAAACTGCGAACCGGATTGTAGAAGTCGTGTATGTAAGGTTTCAGAGCCAACTGAAGGCTTACCTCCCTTACGTGTGTAGACTGGGACTGAGTTACACTCCTTGAGTTCCATCCCAAGAAATTGCATGCTGAAAAATCGAAGTCTCCAAATAGAATAAAGTTCGTTGCCAATTATGAGCAAAGTGCGATTATTACCTGCAAATTTTTTTATACCCCGGTATAGGGTCGGTGCCATTCACAGCGTATGCATGAAATCCATACGTGGGTCCTTGTAGACGTTAATGGTGACTATTGATGCATTGTACGGGCACTGCTGTTCTTCGATTGTAAGCTTGTCGGTAGCGTTGACCTTCGTATAGTTTTGTTTTGCAGCGCATTGTACAACACTACTGCACATTGCACTTGATGTGTCCTCGTCCGTTCTGTTCATTTCGTACACTTTCGGATGTGCAGGAAATACTACCCCACCCCTCATGTAAATATTGCATGACGTATCCTGAAAATAAGATATTGATCTTCCTTCATAGAAATGAGGTGAGTGTACGGTTTTCTCAA